TTTTTTTTTATGATGGGAGTGATACGATCCTTAATTTTGTTAGTTGTAATACCATTATTTGCAAAATATTTTAAGATTGTTGACGATAAAAAGGACGAAATGGATGTTAATGCACCAACTTCATTAACAGATAGTGAGGTTGATGATTATGATGAGACAAAGATGAGAAGATTGATGAATTTTGAACTATGGATCACCAGAATCGGATTATTTACTGAAGGTGCGGCCTACATCGGATACATGTTGGCTTCATCGGGTGCCATATTCGCAACAGGTTAGATAATATTTAGGACTTTGTAAATTTTCATTTTCGTAATAATAACCAATCTCAAATTTTATAGCTATTGCTTTTGCATCTGTCGGTGCAGTAGTGAGTCCGTCACTGACATCTTTATATACGAAATATGTCCCAGCTTCAAAAGTAGGCGAATTGCTGGGTGCCCTAGGCTTACTAGATGCAATCTTGCGTATAGTTGGGCCTACTACTTTTGATCTATTATATAGCGCACTTGTTCTTATTGATCCTCGTTATGTTTGGCCATGTTTTACGGGAATACTTATTTTTGGATGTTTATTGACATTTGGAGTTAATCCCAAATTAAAAAGTGGAGAGGTAGAATATACACCTTTACAATCAATATAAAAGATTCGAAATATGAACCTTTTTTTTCAAATAATTAAAGTTTATTAATCGCTTTTTTTATTTATACTAATCAATTATTAACAGTTAATGACACATTTTTTTTGCTGCCGTTAAAAAATTTTCTGTATACAGTAATTGAAATGGAAAAAATGATTACGCTGTCAAGTCATACTGATATTACGAAGCCGTTCCCGTTATCTCGTTACCTATAAATCACGTGACCAAGGCAGTTAACGCGTGATACTCGGCTGTCGCGCAAACTTTGATTGGTCTTCACTATTTCTATTAAGTCCATTATATTTATATATTATTTTATTCACACGAATAACTCAAATAATTCGTATGCAAGTTATACGTTTATTTTGTATCTTCATAATTTTCTCTTTTCGTAACTATATACTTTACTCTTAATAATTGTAAATAATTACTACTTGATTTATTATTTATATGCAGTTTAATAGTGATCTCTTGGCTTATATGCGCATATTTATTAAAGGACGAATACAATACATTTATGGGGAATTTAACATTTAAAATTATATAAATGTAATTTTCTTTTCACAGTTAAACGTATTACTTTTAATTTATTCTCTTAACATCTTGCATATAAAAACTATAACTACTTTTGTTAATTTTTTAAAAGTAACTTACGAATACAAATGAATTTTTGCAGTTCTAAATATCTTCGGTTAACGTATAATAACCTTCACTGATTCGCATAGGTATTGGTCTAGAATAGAATAAGCATTATAACATTGTTAAGCGAAAGGACAGTATTAAGTGATACATATATCGTTCAAAGAATACTTTGGCTCTTAATTGTAAAATTTTTCCAAATTTTGGTCCTTATATCAATATGTAATTATTTCACTTTGGGCTCTTATTTGTAATTATTTCATCTTTCGGGTCCTTATATGTAAATTCCCTTTGATTTATTATCGCCTTTAGCTACCTCATACTCATAAAGAGGTAGTTCGAGGATAACAGCGCATTAAATATATGTGAGGGCATATTTGTTCAATTTCACCAGGGATCTAGACACTTTTGTAATAACGGTCGAATCTGTGTCCGAATCTTTTTCCTTCCTCTTCACAAGCATTCACGCATTTCGATGAATAAATATTGAAATTAAGACGCGCTTATTTTTTCTTTTCCTTAAATGACCCAGCTGTGCAAAAATAATCTATGGAGTGTTAAGAGAAAGGAACTTGGTCTAATTCTTTATGAAGAATGTATTTCATTTT